GGTGCTGAGCCCCCCCCCCCCTTAAAAGAAAAAAGATCAAAGAAAATCCAGAAATTTTATATATTTGGCGAATTTGAGTTAATTTACATTCTACAGTATTTGTGATAGGAAATTTTGCAATTGTAACAAATATAGCACAGACTATTTGTTTGCTTCGATTTTCTTTTAAAAAGACATGATGCAAAGAATCTTGTAATTAATGGAATTTTTATATATCTTAAAATGTGATACAGAGGTTGGAACTTTTTTTAGAGTATTAAAAGGACTGTAAAGGAAAAAATTAAAGGGGGTATAGGATGAAATCTGAGAATCTCAGGATACATATAAAACATCTATCTGATGTTCCTGTCTCGAGAAATAGATATAAAAAATCAAATTTATACGAAAATTCACATATTGCAATTTTGTGTAGAAGTTGTAGTATTAAGTAGATTATATTAAAAAAATATATGCAACCAATCTGAAAACTACGATATCCCACGGAGCCTGAGAATCTAAGGTTTGCTCCTATTATAACTGTCAAATTTTTATTTCGCATTTTAGATATATTAAATTGATTAGCTTCCATAGCAGCAAATTCCTTCACAGCAGATTCGAGCTTCTCGGCGTCTAACCTTCTAGCTTTAGCAAAAACTGGTGGACCAGGAGTAGTTGGAACAGAATGATGAACCGGATACTTAGTATCAGCAGCGCTAAACCCCTTAGAATAGATCACATCTGGATACTCAGCTAAAAGATCTCTAAACTCTTCTTTGGTTGATGCAGCATACAGTTCTGAATGTTTACCCGGTTTACCAAGTGAGGAAGCGGCAGGTATTGGTTCCAGGGTTGAAGCATCTGAAAGGCAGGAACCAGCTACATCCACTAGCAGATGGTGATGGCAGAGAAAACCAGATCCAAGGATGGGCATGGAAACATCAGCAAGGAGAAAGGACCACTCAAACCGGCAGGGACCAAACTGGAGAGCTATATGAGCTGGAACCAAAAGTGTTCATAGCGGTACCGTCAGCGGTTCCCAGCTGAACACCCACACTAAGAACATGAGGATGGTGAGGACAGTGTGGGAACACTGAGATAGAGGCTCCAATGTCAACCAGAAACTTATGTGAGGAAAGAGAGTTCTTTACAAATATAAGGTTTGAGGCCGTAGAATCAGCGGGAATAGAGTTTAATAAATCCCCACTGCTAACTAGTTTCCTGAACAGGAACAGCAAGCTCGACACTGGCTAGCCTCATCCCCCCATTGGCAGTGATACCAACAAACTCCAGAAGAACTAGCTCTACTACCATCTTCAGGAACTGAGGAACGATTGGTAGACCTGGGAACCTGTGAACAATATCTAGATTTTGTGGACGAGTTTCTGCCTGGCAAAGCATACACATCCTCACACTGCTCAGATAAAACTTGTACAGGGATGCTGCATCCACGAACCATCCACAACTCGTCAGCACCAAGAGCCATTCCACGGGGGTCACTGATGGGCTCAGAGAGCAAATGTGCCCGGATATCAGCTGGGAGATGGTCCATAAACAAACCTCTAAAGAAGAATCCTTGCTTCTCGTCTTCAGGGAGGAGGACCAACATTTGTCAATCTACTGCAAGGAGCGTTGGTCGTATAACAATGGCAAACTCTGCAAAGCCTGGTATCCCTGTAAGTCACTCAGGGAGTGCATTTGAATGAGGCGTCTCCTTGACGCTTCATAAGGCTTGGCAGGAGGAGCACAAACTAGGTCCAGGAGTCTAAAAGCCACATCCTGGGGTAACGAAGAAACACATTGGGTAAATTTAGTGTGAGAGGCTGTTATCCTCTTGACTTCAAACTGGGCCTCTGCTTGGAGAAACCTGACCTCTTGAGAATCGGTCCAAAAGGATGAAAGTTTCACAAAAACCGTTGTCAAAGGGATTGCAGCCTCGATCATGTCACTTCCTGGCTCTTCCATCATCTTGTCAATTGCTACTTGAAAATGCTGGAAATAAACTGAAATAGACTCTCAAATTGCTGAAAACCTTACTTTGGTACTGGGTGTGGAAAAAACAGGGACTTGGTCGAAACCAATTTTGGGTACATTGGTGAGAGAAAATTTGTAGTTGTCAGCAACAAAATCACATTGGGGTCACCAAATGTAGCGACGCAAAAAAGAGATAAATGTATGGACTGTATATACTTTGAGGTTTAAAGTACAAAATGGGAAAACTATCTAAATCATTTATTTTTGGTTTGGTTTCTTGGTCCGTAGGTGGAAGAACAACTCCTAACTCATCCACATGTTTATAAAAAAAACATCCGGGAAGAACACAAGAGAAGAGAAATTATATGAATTAAAGAAAATTAGCCCCGTTCATGACGGATAGAACAGAACAGTGTCGCTGAGATTAGTATTTACTGTGTATATACATTACAATTTACAAGATACCGGGGTCTCTCTCTCTCTCTCTCTCTCTCTGGCTCGGATTTATCCTCTGAGTTCTCTCTAGTCTACAGTTCTAGAGTTGAGTGCTCAGTCTAAATCTGACAGTATTGTGAACCTTGTGTGAACTTGTTTCTTATTAAACTAACTTGATCAATTCATAATTCCATACATGGACATGTAGGTTTACAATAAGTTTGGTAAAATCATGCTAATATATGCTCAATGCTCATTCTCAGTTCTTAAGTTTTACAGTAAATTATCTTAAAACGTTTCTCTTTTGGCTTTCAATTAAAATATAGATTAGGTTTTTATAATTATAAATTTGTCATGAGTTGTTTATCTGCGAAGTTCATGGATTTATTTTTCAATCCCAAACGTCACTAAGTATTCATGGAACTTGAAAAACTTTCAATTATGATTTAATAAGTTTAGAGAAACCAGATTTTTCATTTAAATGAAATTCTAAATTTTACAAAATTAATAATATCTTTCCTATTTCACATAAATTCTATGTGCTCTGAAAAGTTCAATAAATTTTCTAGACTGGATTGACTATTTATAATGTTTCACGTATTCACTTAAACTTTTTTTTGTAGCCATAGACATAAGAATTTTAGAACTTTTAGTACTTGTTTTTGGCTTCAATTGTTAAGAAGAAATTGGAATAACTCTTGTCAATTTTTTTGTGAGAGCTTGGCAACCTTTGGATCCTGGTGATTTTATTTTCTCATAGTTTATTAAAATACTTCAATTGTTTGGTCTACAAGATATAGACCTCGTAATCTCTTGATCAGTCAAAACTAGTTGAAAACTGGACCTGAAACTGAACCTTAATCAATGTTTCCTACCTGAACCTGAACCTTGCTCCATAAGACCTGAACTTAAACCTTGCCCCTTATAACATGAACCTAAACCTCGATCCTTATATCAGACCTGAACCTAAGCCTTGCTCCTTATATCAGACCTGAACTTACACCTTGATCCTTTTATCACCCTTGAACCTGAACTTTGATCATTATATCAGACCTGAACTTGAACCATGATCCTTAAAACAGACCTGAAACTAAGCCTTGGTCCTTATATCAGACATGAAGCTGAACCTAGATCATTATATCAGACCTGAACCTAAGCCTTAATCCTTATAGCAGACTTGAAACTGAACCTAGATCGTTATTTCAGACCTGAACCTGAACCTTGCTCCTTTATCATACATTAACAGCTAAACCTTGATCCATATATCAGACCTGAACCTGAACCAATCATGGAACGGAATTTTTCTCCTTAAGTCAGATCCGAACCTTAAGTTACACAGTATTTGACTTAAAACTTGATCATAAAAACCTAGAATTTGAACTCGTATCATTAAACCTTAACCATTCTTCAAAAACATCTGAATTCTACTCCTTTAAACCTTATGCTATGAATGGTCCTATTAAATATGAACCTTTTTTCTCTTAGACATGAACCCTGATCCTACTAAACCTGACTCTGCTCCTCTTAAACCTAAACTCTGCTCCTCAAAAATCTGAGATCCTTTCCTGCTGAATCTGAAACCTGCTCCTCCTAAACCTGAACTCTGCCCCTCTTAAACCTAAATCCTGCTCCAACTAAGCCTAAACCCTGCTCCTCCTAAACCTGAACCCTGCTCCTACTAAACCTGGACCCTGGTTTAGAAACCAAATCTTCTATTTCTAGACATATATGGTTTGTTGATGAAGACAGGATCTTAATACTGCTGTAACGTAACAGGTTTCTAACATTTATTTACCTTCTCTCTATCTTTCTATAAATTTATCTCACTTTCTTTCTACTTTATATCTGTCTATGTAAATTATGCCAATGGAAGGTAAGTACTAAATACCATACATATATTATGTATACTAGCTTGGGAACCCAGCGTTGCCCAGGGTACTCATAGTTACTCCCGCCGTTCACCCCCGCTTGGTCTTAAATTACGATTTTAGCTATTATTCCCTATAAAAGTCGATCAACTCAACTTAGATTCTCAAAAAGCTAAGAAGTCATTATCGGACAAATAGACAAACAGAGATTAGATTCATCTTTATAGATACCTAAGTATATTTTATCTATATATCTACCTCTCTCTCTATTTCTGAAAACAGAGATTAGATTCATCTTTATAGATACCTAAGTATATTTTATCTATATATCTACCTCTCTATCTATTTCTGAAAACAGAGATTAGATTTATCTTTATAGATACCTAAGTATATTTTATCTATATATCTACCTCTCTATCTATTTCTGAAAACAGAGATTAGATACATCTTTATAGATACCTAAGTATATTTTATCTATATATCTACCTCTCTATCTATTCATCTTTATAGATACCTAAGTATATTTTATCTATATCAACCTCTCTCTCTATTTCTGAAAACAGAGATTAGATTCATTTTTATAGATACCTAAGTATATTTTATCTATATCTACCTCTCTATCTATTTCTGCAAATATATGAATTTAAACCCTTTATTATTGATATGCTATGATCATTATGACCTTGATGTGTCTAAAATTTAACGATTGATAAAAAATTTAGATAAAGTTATTTAGATACAATTTCTGATAAATATTTGTGTTCTGATGTATCAATTTTACAATAAGTATAATCAGCAGAATTTTAATTTGATGAACTAAATGGTAAAGAAAACAAAGGGACTGTTAGCGAAGTTTAAAGTAACTTTCCTTTATAAATAAAAAAATTAGGGTCAGTTGGGGAAGAATCGCTAGAAACCTCAATATCTTTGTTTACATTAAAAGTGTACTGCAGTACAAACTCAGTGTTCATATTCTTCCCAAAAACGGCTTGGATATTTTTGAAGACAAAAAATGTAAGTTTCTGGTGTATTTTCCTCTGTCTAAAAATAAATATTGAAAGGCCCCATGATCGGAGAAAACTCTTATCAAACCTAAAAAAAAATCTTTTATTTGTAGAAACTAATAAAAGTCTGTGATTTTTGATTTTTTGACTACACCTTAAATAGTAATTGAATATTATTTGTGTATACAAATATACGTTTTTATTCAAAAATTCAAGGGAATGACAATATTTAGATTTTCTTTCTCACGTACTTTAAAACAACAAAATATGATTTCAATATAACGTACTTTAATACAACAAAATATTATCTTTCCTAATCTTTAATCTTCTGTTCATCGATCTTATTTTCAATAACGAAAACAACCATGGATGATAATCATGATAATAATTAAATTTAAAATTAATTCTGATTCAGAACTAATATCATGCTTCACAAACTATAAGGACGGTGAGTACCATGTACTTTTCCCTTTTCTTTGTTATTTACATTGTGCACTAATTGTATGTCAATCAAGACGTCATCTGCTTTATGAGTAATGCACGTCATATGATTATGGTCGATATCAAGATAACACAATATTCTAAATTGATATATGATATAGAAACTATTTGAGAAAATTGGCAGATTTTCATTTCCACTCTGTTTTAATCTATCATTTATGGTTAGGCCTTTTGAGGCGCAACAAGCTAAAATAGATATGCTAGAGTCGAGTGCTGCAGATAGGTTAGAGCCGAGCGCTGCAGATATGTAAGAATCGAGAGCTGCAGACAGGTAAGAGCCGAGCGCTAAAAATAGCTTTGAGCCGTACGTTGCAGTTAAGTAAGAATCGAGCGCTAGAGATATGTTAGAGCTGAGCGCTTCAGATATGATAGATTAAATGGTTAGTAAGACATTTTCTGAAAGAGCAAGTGACATATAATTATGGACAAGAGCAGTTGACGTAAAGGCAAATATCGGGCTCTAGAGGAGCTAGGGCTACAGAGAAAATGTTGTGTACAGTCAAAATAAAGATCAAATGGACCATGGAATATGGAGCATATGAGAAAAGAGCTAGTGCTTGGTTGTGCATTATTTTAGATTTAATTTTGGGATTACTTTTAAATCTTATTACAGCTTCTTTAAAATCAAACTTCTTAAATTAATGTTAATAGTAAGAATACATACTTTTATAAAGACTACGCTTTTTGGGCGCTTCGTGCGCATCTTCTATTTAAAATTTTAATTGTGTTTTTTTCTGTGAACATCTTCACTTTATGCAATATAAAACAAGAACAAAAAAAGTTTGTTTGTTTTATTTTTTGTAACTGATAAACGGCAAACTGGCTGAACCGATCGAGTCCAATTTTTTTTGGCCCGAGGGAAGGTTGATGGATGCTCAGAATTACAAAAAATATGTCTCTAACAATTTTATATTTTCAAAAAATATTATTTAATCCGCGAATTTTTTTTGTTATTGTTTTATATTGTACAAAGAGAAGATGCTCACAGATAAAGCCACAGTTAAAAGTTGAAATCTATAAAAAGCCTAGTATTATATTTTCATTAATTGAGATTGATATTACTGAAAAACTAATTTCAGTGGAAAAAAACCTCTGGAAAGTTCCAATAAAAACTTAAAAATTAGAGTTTCAGATAATAAAAAACGTAAGTTAAGTTCTGATAATTCTGATGATTAGTGTTGTTACGCTCGACATAATAATTTATCAGGTTTTCAAGGTATCTCTTTCATCAAGGTTGTAATTCAAGCCTATTTTCTTGATTCAGTTCACAGATTTATTAACCCTAATAGTTTTATCTTTAAAATACAATACACGTACATTGTACAATCCAACATTGTACCTGTACAGTGGGAATATAGTGATTAGTGCATGCGCCATTGTAACTTTTTAAATTTAAATTGATCAAAATGAGTGAAATAGTAAAGCTTAAAACCCCATGTATTTTCTCTAATTAACATCCTGGAAACGTTCTTCTAAAATTGTTTATTTTTATTATATTGGGTTAAATTGTTGCGTTGTAGCATTAGTACAGTGTGACAAAGCATTCTAAATTAACAGTGTGGCTGTTCACAAAATCTGATAAGATTAGATAAACTTTTTTACTTAGTTGTAGCTATTATACCGTTTTGCTCTCTACACTGTGATTTTGAGTAAAAGAAAAGGTTGAGGAGGTATTAATATTGAATCCACAGTATAATCTATCCGTATTCTGTGCACATATATCTGATTTCTGTGCACTGCATATATAATAAATGTATCTGTATCTTTGTATTCATCACTCTCCACTAAAAGCCACTAAAATTGCTGCAAATCCCTGCAATATACATCGAAAGCTTAATTGGTGGTATATCTATAAATTTTGTACACTTGTATCTTTATCTATCTGTATTTTTTGCATTATCTATAAATATATATATTTGTATTCTATGCATTATCTATAAACTATCACTATGATGTGGACTCAGGGGTGGATAAAGGATTTAAGTGAGGGGCCGGGGTGTTAGATTTATTTAGGAACAAAAAAATCAAGATTTAGGAACCAAAAGACGCGCCGCAGGTGAATTTTTTTTTGACTGAAAAGACTCAAAAAGAGTTAAAATTTATGACTTAAGACTAAAAAACTAGATTTTTAACTTATCACACATTATAGTTTATTAAGATAGATATTTTTCCTGTTCTTTCCCTTTAGTGCTGTTGAGAAGCTATTCTGAAAATAGGAACAAAAATAAAGGATTAGGACAGGGATTTAGGGTCTAGGGTCGGACACACTGTTAGGAACAGGAACAATAATAGGAACATTAAGCAAGTTAAGAACAATAAGAAATTACTAGTTATACTTAAATGCATTAAAATTATGAACAATATTACCATTTTGATTAATGAGTATTGATTAAGGAACATTATTAGATAGGAAAAAATTTTATAACATAAGTCTAGTTTCTTATAAAGTTTTAGCAAAAAACTTAAATTTTTGAATTCCAATATCTTAGCGACCTGATGTTGTACACATTTGATATTTCAAACTTAGATAAGTTGAGCTAACATAATTCATAGTTTGAAGTATCTACGACATTTGGTTTGAACAATACAAGGACTACAAAATCAGAGTTTGTTGCAAAGACTCAATTCCTTTCTACATTTATCGTTCACATTAACTTGTAGATTTTTAAATCAAATTCAAGATGTGCATTGTGCCGCGTATTAACACCAATAAAACCAAAACACATATAACTTACATCGTTAGTTATATTTATATTTAACAAGCATGACAAATATTTTTTTCGTCGTTCTGATGATTCAATTATTCAATAAATATTATGATTCCATTAAATAATCAATAGCTTGAAAAAGAGGTACACATACGATTTATCAAATTGGGAACATTTTTGCCTCGAAGGTCCTGCCAACCCTGAAGTGCACTATCTCTTTATCTGAATAATATATATGTGCAATATTATTATCTATTTATCTGTAATCTACAGCACTGTCTATCTACCTGAATCATGTGCATCATCTATCAACATATAAAATATCTAATCTAATCTAATCTAATAATTTATTTTTCCGTTGAAAATATGACCGGTTGTGCATAAAAATTACATATCTATATGATTTCTTCTAAAAATAGAAACAAAAATCTGAAAATAGAAAGCTGACCCCTTGGCAGAGAAAACTGGTATAATATATATATATATATATATGTGTGTGTGTATTGTCTATCTATCCAATCCATATTCAGTGCTTTAGTAATCAAACTATATTTATAAATAATCTATTTATCTAAATTTTGTTTACTTTCTATCTATCTGTATCATGTGACGTGTCTACTTTTCTGTAATCTGTGCATTATCTATCTATTTATATTCTGTGTAGTATCTTTCAATCTGTATCATGTGAACTATATATCTGTATCATGTGCACAATTTATCTACCTGTATTCTGTGCTTTATCTGTGAAATTTTATTTACACATCACCTGTATTATTTACATTATCTATATCTATCTGTTTTCTGTGTATTATCTATATTTTGGTATTACGTGCATTATCTGTCTATCTCTATTCTACCCACCATCTATCTATCTGTATTCTGTGCACTGTAAAATGTGCATCTGGACGAATTTATGAAAGTCTTAACAATAAAATGTGGGATATCTGTTTTGTCTCATTGCACAGTGCACACTGCATCATGCCTTAGATTAAAGTTCATAATAAAGGTAGCTAAAAAAAATTGGATTTTGTTACATCACGTGACGCCACTATTTGCACTGTAAAAATTTAAACAAGGTTCCTATTTTATATTCTGTAGAAACCAAATATAATATAAAATCCAAAAGTTTTATGAATAAACTTTTTGGACATTATTAACAACAGTTTTTTCTTTTTTCTCTCCCTTTTTCACATACATATTCAAGAGAATCAGACAGTGCACAGTGGTTTCGTTTCAGCAGATCCGGAACTCCACACTCCAAAGTTCTTTACTGATAAAATTTACTTTAGGACGCTTCGCTCCCATCTTCGTGGATTTTCAAAATTTTCAACAGTTGAATTTTGTTAGAGGCAAATTTTCTAAATTTGATCATTCATAAACCTTCTCTGGGGTCACCAAGGTCCAACAAAAAATTTGGGCCCGATCGGTTCAGCCGTTTTGACGTTTATTAGACACATACAAACAAAACAAACAGACAGACAAGCAAAGTATATATATTGATGCAGTGTGCAGTTTGCAATGCGTATCCTTTAGTTTTTAAAACGTTTTAAATTTCTTTAATCTATCTGATAATAACAATTCCGCTTTCTTAATTTAATCCATTCTACTTTCTCTTGATCAACTCCTTCTACTTTCTCTTGATCAACTCCTTTTACTTTCTCTTGATCAACTCTTTATACTTCCTCTTTTTCAACTCGAAATTTTTGAATTTTCTTTTTTCTGTACTTTCTTATTTTCTTTACCAATTCCAACATTTCTTTAAGAAATATGTACTTATATTAATTAAAACATAGGATGCAACAGAAATCTAAAAATGTTCATCAGAAATTAAAATTTAGATTTTGAGATTTTGTAAATCGGAGAAAAATTTGTTGATGAGGATAAAAGGAAGAACTCCTTTAATTGAGACTTAATTTCCACAAATCTAGACTTATTTCATCTCTCCATCACATAATCTCCTAAAAATACAGAGCCTTCTTCATCTCTTGCAACGGAATTGAGTTCTTGCCACAACCTCTAACCTCTTTATATTTACAACATGATGTCGTGTATATACCTTAAATATTTCATACTAATCATACAATTAATTCTGTTGGATAAAATAATCTGAATTTTAAATATCAAAAGTTTACACCGTCAGGTTGCAAAGTTGTAGGGATTAGAGAATTTGAGTTGTGGCAAAAACTCAATTCCTTAGACTTATTATTATTAATCTCCTTCAGATGAGACTCATTCCATTTAACCACAGGAAAATGCTGAATTGCTGATCCCTACTTTTGACATGATGAAATTTTTCTTTATATTTAGATTAACAATGGAAGGTTTTAAAACCAGAGTTTAAAAATTTCATTGAGTTATTTTTAAATTCTTTTCATGATAATATCTCTATTTTTAGGAAGAGAAGTCAGGGTTAATCCTTATGTATTTAGAAGTATAGCAGGTTAGTGGTTTATATATAGCGGTCTGCAGTCTACATACTGTCTACAGTTTACAGTCTACACAAAGTCTACAGTAAACTGTCTCCATGCAGTTTATAGTTTACAGTCTACATACTGTCTCCAGATACTGTCAACAGTTTACAATCTACACACTGTCTACAGTATACAATCTACAGTGTACAGTCTACAGTATACAGTCTACAGTGTAACAGTCTACTTACTGTCTACAGTATACAGTATGTGAATGTATACAGTATACAGTATACAGTATATACACTGTACCATATATTATACATACAGTATACAGTATACACTACAGGATATACACTAAACAGACTTCAGGGGCGTACGAGGGCTTTTGTTTAGGGGGGGGCACAATTTGCGCAAAAAAAAATTTTTGGTCCCCCCCCTTGGCAACATTGGTCCCCCCCCTTAAAAACCCCTTTTTTGAAAAAATATTAATACCTTTTTTAAATTTTTTCCCCTGTAAACAGTATACAGTATACAGTATACATTACATACAGTCTACATACATCCTATAGTATAAAGTATACATACTGTCTACATGCAGATGTCTATAGTTGTTAAATATTGAGATCGAGATAAATTTGAAGTGTCGCCAGAACTTTATCTTAGGTTTCACTTCCCAACCCACTTATTTTTTTTGTTGCCCTGAAGATAGATAATTGCAGATTATAAATGAACATTTCAGGATGGGAAATGCTCTCGGCTGCGGGGTTTCATGTAAAAATCAATACTCAAGGTATAATTATAAACTTTTTTGACTGTGGTATATTTTCTGACGTTAAGAAAAATTATCATTTTTTATTACTTTTGGTTTCAACAATACTTATCAAAACATAAATTATAAAATAAAAAATAAATTAGACCACTTACAGTTTTCCTATTATTCTTGATAATGTTATTTTAGAATAATTGAAAATTCCAAGTATTTTAATTTGTTTAATTTTGAATGTTAAAAATTCTGTCCTTATTTTTTTTGAAATTTTACAATAAAAGACACAACACCCTTAATATTACTAAAGTAAGTTATGAAAGATATTCAATCGATAAATAATAGCAAATTTTTTCTTCCTGTAGAAAACATTTTACATTTTTGTTCCGAGTTATATAGTTTTACAAGTTCATTAGTCACCATGTGTTTGGGACTTTAAACAATACTGGGATTACAACTCTAGAANAGATTGAGGAAAAATAAGGGGTGGGCGGAGTTGAAAAGGAAGATGCTAGAAGGGAGTGGGGTTTAGGAGTGGAATTAAAAAAAATTCTTTGGAATTAAGGCTAGAAAGCAAGGGGGGGGGGCAGGTTGTTGAGAAGGAAAGAACACAGTTTACTTTAGAATATTTGGTTGTATTAGTAAAATATTTGGTTGTATTAGTAAGATATTTGGTTGTATTAGTAAAATTCTTGAAATATGTAATTCAATAATTCAAACTCTTCACATTTATGTAAAATTGAAAACAGTGCACTGAAGTGTGTTGAGTCCTTGGCTGTTTAAATAGAAGATTAACACTTAAATCTTCTTCTACTCCATAATATCTTTCAGTCACAGATTTCACCGACAGGATTAGGAAGCTAGTTTTCGGTTTGTTTGTTGCAGGACACTGTACAGTTTACATTGCACAACCTCATCCAATTTGTACAATACACTGAGAAAGGGGGGTCTCGCGTCCCCGCCCCCCCCTTAGAGATTGAAAAAGGAAAATTTACAGTGTAAAAACAGTAGAAAATGTTGAAAAACATAATTCTTTTTTGTAACTGATACGAAATTGTAAGATTTTATTCTAGAAAAAGTTTTGCCTAAGAATATTACGAATTGCAAACCATAACTGTCTCTCGTCCCCGTTTCCTCGGCTCCTTTGGCTATAATTTCTACCAAATAATGTACCATAGGTGGCAACAGAGAAATGGACCAATAATACATGACGTCACAAGTGTCAAATATAATAAGGAAAACAACATTTTCTCCCATTTGTTTGTATGTTCCCAAGATTAAATAAAGCAGTGTAAAAACAGAAAAAAAGAACACAAAATTGCACTCATTTCACTTTATTATCACTGTTAGTAATAATTTTGTCGGACACATAAAACTGTTGACACTTGTGACGTAAGAATATAGTTTCACTGAGAGTGTACAAATTCTACGTTGCCATCTATTGTGCTTGACAATCTAAATGATTTCTACAAACGATTACGATTTAAAAACAACGACTATACGTGCGTTTTCAGCGTTTCATTTGATTTCTGCCTAAATACAAAGTTGTAAATTATTAATTGTTAATTCTGACACATAGAAATTTCTATTTTTCAATCTTGAAAATAAATTGTGTTTTATCAATTGGTATGTGTGGAAGAAAGGTGGGTAGGGTTACTGTTTACCCCTAAAGAGTTTCTGTTCTTTTTGTATAAATGTTTAAATAGTTTACTAATTGTGTTTAGTATACGTGCCTTGAATATTGAAAACGAAAAGTGTTTAGCATTCTCAATACTCATTTATACTTATATTAGTAAGCAGGTTTATTTTGAGATGTTTTAAAAAAGCGAAAGTCCTCAGCCACCCACACTCTGTACGTTGATCTATGGTTTGCTCTTAGATAAGTGTTGTACGCTGTACAGTTTACAGTATGGTTCAAGCATATTTTTGGCGTACTTCAGTGTTTTTGACTTTGAACTCTTATACTTTAACAATGTAGAGCGGAACTGTTTTAATCAGCTGACTTGTATTTCTGCGATCTTTCAGTGGCCGAAAACAGATTTGTGTTTTCTTATGATTAAGATATTTTTTCCGACTTATTTTGATCCATTGAATCATAAAAGAATTAACAATTCAAAAGTTCCAATAATTGTATGCTCAGAGCCTAAAACTAAAGAACGAAAAGTTACAACAAATGTTAAGTTTCAGCTAAAATGCCACTTCTGACTTAATTTAAACCTGAATTTTAAGCCCGAAAATATCCGCATTCATTTTTGCAATATTTCCATGCCTGAAAATAATTTAATCTGTCGATTTGAATTTATAAATCTCTTTTCCGTAATCTGGAATAAATAAATACATCGTGTACGTATCTAATAAAAAATATATTTTTTACTTTTCAGTTTTCGTACTGCAATAATGCAATTTTGTGAAGAAATTGAAATCTCTGTCGATCCGTAATCTCCGTAATTCTGATTGGTTCATATTTTCCGCGGGAAATTCAAATTTTCCTTCAGGGTTAAATTTAGAACGCCCGGTTAATATTTAAGTAGCAACTCATTATTATTCAGAACTTTTAAGCTACAACTTAAATTTCCCGCATTCTATAGTTTTATATTCAGCTTTATTGATTTCAGAGAAAATTCGTTTACTGCTCCGCCACTAAGAGGTCCTGATAGGGATTTTGGTGTACAGCCCCTTCATCAAGGTGTACAGCCCCTTCATCAAGGTGTTCAACCCCTTCATCAAGGAGTTCAGCACCTTCATCAAGGTGTTCAACCCCCGCATCAGGTAGGAGATTCACGTTTGCCAGACATACTCTGATCTGGTATAATTTCTGTCCAGTTTCACAGACACATATTCTTTAGATCCTTTATTGTACTAACATTAAAATCTATTAACGATTCATTTTATGCCATGAAAACTCCATTTAAGCGAGCGTCGGAAATACTAATTAAATATTTAAATTGATAAATTGATACTATCTATATATTTACATAGATAGCTAGATAGTTAGATAGAAGAATAGATCTTGTTATATAAAAAAGCTAAAAAGTACAATTAACTATTTATTATAGAACATCTATTATTTAAAAAAACCCATTAAACTTAATTAGAAAATACATAAATGTAAAAAGACGATTAAATATTTAGAAAGAAGTGTTTCTTATCTCTCACCTGAATTAGTGCATATTTATTGCGTAAAGATAAACATGAGAAGGAGAGCAGAGAGGAATCAACAAACAAACATCAATATAACAAGACTGCATGCTGGGTCTAGGGAGGGGAGGGGGATACAAGCGCCAATAATACTTTTTCTTCCAAACCATAATCTTTTCTTTTCCTTCCAAACATACGCCTAGTTATTAAAACACTGTTTTTCCAATGCGACCGACCTACAACAAAGGAATTAAGTCTTTGCCACAAACTCAAACGTTCTAATCCCCATAGATTTTCAACCTTTTGAATGGTGTAAACCTTTGATATTTCAAACTTTGATTATTTGATCTAACATTGTTTGAAATATCTGTACGATATCGGGTTGCAAAGATATAAGGATTAGAAAATCAGAGTTTGTGACAAAAACTCAATTCCTTTACTTTCTGATTTATAATCAACTCCTAATTTTTTCCTTTCATAAATTTTGTTAACTGTTTGACATTTGTAATGTATTTTTTTCTTGAAATTTTGATCTGTTTCGAAAGGTGACAGATTTGAGACAAAGGTGACAGATTTGAGACAAAGGTGACAGATTTGAGACAAAGGTGACAGATTTGAGACAAAGTTTGATAAATAATCGTAGAAAAACGTGGCACAATTAGGCTCCGCCTCTCCCTAGAGGTAGGCAGCCAAACTATATTAATTGGACACCAATCAACCAAATAACCAGTCAACCAATCAACCAATTACACCAACTAACCAATTAACCAGTCAACCAATTAACCAATTAACCGATTAACCAGTCAACCAAACAACCAAACAACCAATTAACAAATCAACCAATCATATCAACACACCAACTGTCAAAATAAAAAAATGGTTGATAATAATTTTTGATTAAAAGTTATGATTGAATACGGAAAAAACAAAACTTTCAACTTTTTAGGATTTTGACAACGACATAAAAGTCAATTTTTTTCTTTTTCTAATCTAAAAGAATTTTGCTTATTGGTGTGTATTTAATTTATGCATAATATATGTATAGGTAACAAAGCTAATGTTTTCAATTATTGCCAGGGTTGATTGGGAATCCCGGTATAAATTGAATTACTGTGAATGAATATATATGATTTCTAAAATTTATATTTTCAAAAAATCAAGTAAATTCCAGAAATATTTCTGAGATCCAGTCATGAAACTAGTGGCAGAATTTAAAGAATTTGAGCGGCGGTTTAAATTTAAGCCGCGGCTTAAATATGGTTGGTTCCACTTAAAATTGTATCAAATGTTTCAAGATTCAAGCCGGCAATCAATTAAAACTGGTTTTTGAGGGATTTGAGACGTGGCTTAAATTCATTAAATTCGGGCACAGTAGTCTCTGATACAATCAGGGTTCACTCACGTGCTTAATGAGTACTCAGGGCCAATTAAATAGCAAAGACGGCAAGATCTATCAATCTATCTGTCTATTCAATTCGTGTAGTCCAATTAGAGATCTATTTGTAAATTGGCGGCAAAGACTAAAAGATTTCTTTACTTGTATCCAAACTACGTTAGCATACGTTAATTGATACAATCTAAGACATCTCTAGGTTTAAGTTTAAATAATTGTATGATTAATATAATATATGTGTGGTGTATACGTACTACGGAGTGAGGTTCTGAATTCTAAGTTTGATTTGATCAGGTTTGGGTGGTTATAAAGCCCGTATAAAGGCAGTATATGGAGAAATAAATATAAATGCGTCTTTTCTAACTTGACTACTGCGTCGTATGTATTGAATGACTGCGTAAGGAATTGAATCACGGGAACTAATAACCGCTAAAGAATACAGATTAATGGGTGGTTTAAAAAAAATAGTATTTTCGTTGTTGTTTTAAAAAAATAGTTTTTCCACGATTGTTCTGTTCTGCATTTTTAGGACCAAACTTTGAATCCCGTAAATTTATAACGAAATATTTGTTTTGTGTCACCCTAACAGACCTGGCGGCCTATAATATTTGAGCTTACCATATTTCACTTCTGATTCTATTCTCATTTCCACTTCGTCTTTCCTCCTTGTCGCTCCTAGACCTGAAAATCTAGCAAGATTATCGAGTGTTGCTCAACACAAAACTTGAATAGTGAATTCAAGTGTCATAAACAAATATATAGTTTCTAATAAAGAAAATGTGAGACTTTTCAAATTATAGAGTGAATCTTTACACAGTGAGTCCCAATAAACATGAACAATTGTCAATTCAAGGTCCGAATTTAATGAATTTGAGCTGAGTCTTAAATTCACCGAAAACCGGTTTCAATTGAGCGCCGGCTTATTTATTGAAACATTGAATACAATTTTTAGTGGAACTAACCATATTTAAGCCGCGTCTTAAATTTAAGCCGCGGCTTAAATTCTTTAAATTCGGCCTCCGCTGATTTTATTGTGTGTTGGAATATGAATGAAGGATTATAACTAATCCTCCATTTATAAAGTGGGAAAGGATGATTTTTACAGCTTAAATCTGATTATTATACCCGGCTCATTTGACAAACTTATAAGTACTTTTTGAAAAATTTTGGTCATATTACAAGTTTAGAAAAATATTCTGTATCATTTACTTTTATTCAATTCAGTAGTTTTATAGCTTTATTCCAAATTGTTTTAAAGCTGTTTAGAAAACAAAACTTTTAAAAAACTTTTAAACTTTTTGAAGAAGCAGAAGTACAGAGAATGCCAGTCACTGAGAAAAATATATTTTTTGAAAATCTGTCTTTTCTTTAAAAATGTCAAATCAGAGATAACATTTTAAATTAAAACATTAATTTTGTTATAGCCATAGAGAATAGACTATATAGAGAGGAATTTACTAGAAAAAAGTGTAAAACGGCCATTTTGTTGTACTGTTTCCATACTGCAGGTGTACTTCACATATTTATGCTATATAACCTTTTGGGCCCTGGAATATCATTTTATAGAAAATCTAAAATTATTGTTAAAAGAAAACCAAATTATGAAATAGGCTGGTTTTATAATTGACCAATGATCATTTCACATAGACTCTATGCCTTCCACTTGAAAACGATGATTTTCCGTTAAAACTATAAATCAAATGATGTTTTTATTTACCTAATTCATTATAAAGTTTATTTAACAGCTTTAAAAATTTCGAAATTGAAATGAATAGTCTAGGGAACATACTGTATTAATGTACTCTACTGCATATAATTTGTGAACATTTACATGATTTGTACACTTTGAACTCCCTTTCAGGCTGAAAGGGACTGAAAAAATTCATACCGAGAGATTCTTTTAATTCCTCTCTATATATTCTATTCTCTATGGTTTAAGCTTATCAGGGACCAAATTTTATGAACAATTAGAAAAAGTTTAACTCCACGGATTAAGTAAAATCCCTACTCTCGAACATGAAGAGAATTGGTTTAATTTATCAAATCTTGTCCCTGTATAGTTTCGATAAAAATCCAGCATTTCGGAAGAATTGACATAAAGCTTTTGTTTATTGGGACTTACTTAGTATATAGACTTAAGATGGATCCTAATATAGCTCAGTTGTACTACTACTTGCAAGTAAGTAGTAATAGTCTAAACTGTACACTGCATACTTTATTGTACACTGTTATATAAAATAACGAAAATATGCACGCTATTCAATTTGTACAATGTACATCAATGCTAAGCTGAAACAGTTATGTATTAAATCAAGAAAAGTTTAAAACAAATATCTAGTTCATGTTCTAGTCAGGTACATTTCAAGCGAGCTGTACAGTACACATACAGATAATGCTAAACTCGACAGTACACCAAATGAACTGCAGCCCCTTCTAGGGAAAATCTCGTGATGTGGGATTAAACAGATTTTTTCTCTACCCAGTACTCAGATTCATACTTCAATCCCTAAGTCAATAAACATTTTTTAAGGGTTCAGGATGCGAAAAAAAATTAATGGCCCTGGACATCATAAAACTTTGAAATAGGAAGACGTCTGTGAAACTCAATTATGATTTTATAAAGTCCAATGAACTTAAAACAGAGCAATTGTGGAGTCTATAATTTGATTTTCAAGCTACTGGCAAAATTATTTGCTTAATCAACATTAATAAATTTCGTCTTCCGATTCCAATATTTTTTAGGTCCTACTGTATGTACAGCATTTCTCGCTTTATCGTTACTAAATCGTTTTTTAAACACGTTTAAACTTCTTATCAAATTTTTTTAATTTTCTGGTTGATATTAAGGTTTCATGGAATGGAAGCTAAAATGTTAGTTTAAGACTATAGATGGTTTAGCAAAAAAATCTATGTTGTGATGACAAAAGCTTATATGAAAAATGATTAGATATGTAATTTTATGATTAGGGCATAAATGAGTTAATTGTACTATGAACTCTAACCTTAAATATTCTCTACATAATTTAGCCTTTAGACGCATTGAGGTTTCTTGTGACGCAACTTCTGTATTATCATTAATCTGATGCTTGGGCTCAGACTATTTTTGTCATTCTTTTCAACGTCAGAATTTTTTTCCCTTGTCAATTTCTATCATATTTTGGTTTGTACCGTTTTCAGCCATTTTAACATTTAAAATAATTTTTTTGATTTCGCGGTTTTTTTGGTTTCTTGCATTTTT